ATTATATTAAGTATTAATTAATGATATTAATTATGTTAATTATATTAGTTATATTAATTATATTAATTATAATTGTGTTGATTGTATTAATTATAATTATATTAATTGTATTAATTATATTAATTGTATTAATTATATTAATTATATTATAATTACATTAATTATATTAATTATATTAAGTATATTATAATTACATTTATTGTATTAATTATTTAAATTGATTATATGAATGCATTTGTTTGTTTATTCCTGTTGCATATTCTGTAGAAGGTAATAATAATAAAAAAATATATAAATATATACAGAAGAAGCAGTTTATAAACAAAGAATGAAGACATACAATATATAAATGCATTAAAAAAATAAATTAATATGTTTTTAATTTATTTTTATCGTTTATTAATACCCCGTCTATTATTATTTCTGATTAGATGAGAGAAACAGACAAATATATAATTGTTTGTTGATTGTTATATATATATATATATATATATATATATATATATGTACGTATATATATATATTATAATAATATTTGTTTGAATATATAAATGTATAGGCTTTAGTAATGGAACGAGAAGTACGTCGGCGCATGCAAGGCATGTCAAGACAGCAGAGAGAGGCTCAGGGTTTATCAAAAGAAGATTTAATGCGACTAGAAGAAGATGAAGAGCTGCCGCCTCCTCCTGTAGATGTAGCTGAAGAAATTGACGAAGAATTTTCATTTGCAAACCCTAAAGCCCTCGGCACAAACTTTGATGATATCAGAGGTGTTATCAAAGAAGTACAAGGTGCGTAATTAGGGTTTAGGGTTTAGGGTTTAGGGTTTAGGGTTTACGGGTTAGGGTTTAAGGGTTATGGTTTAGGGTTTAGGGTTTAACGAGGGTTTCTATTGGGATTAGTGTTTTCGGGGGTTGGGGTTTAGGGTTTAGGGTTTAGGATTTTAGGGTTTAGGGTTTAGGGTTTAGGGTTTAGGGTTTAGTGATGTATTTGTTGTTTATAAGTTTATTACTTGTTTATTTTTTTCTTCAATTCCTCAGTCGTGTGAATATATATTTTAATCTTTTTTTGTTTGTTTTTGTATTTGTTCCGGTGATATTATTTGTTTATTAATTTGTTGATTTGCCTTTAATTTATTTATTTATTTTATTTTATTTTATTTTATTTTATTTGTTTATTTTTGTGCTGTTAGAGTTGAGAACTACGCGGTGTATTCTCTGCGTGCATTTCTTGTTTATCTTTACTCGTTTAAATTGCATTTATTTGTTTATTAATTTATTATTTATTATAATATATATATATATATATATTTAGACTGAATTATTTGTTTTATAATTTATTTATTTATTTATTTTTCTTTTTCTTTGTTTTCTTCTTCACCCCGATCGGGGTCTAAGGAGTGTTTTGTATAATAATATAAACACATGCTTAAACTGCTATATTAATTAATTAATTTATTTATTTATTTATTTTTCTTTTCTTCTTCAGCACGTTCGGGTTCAAAAGAATATTCTTTACTGTCGCGTTTATTAGAAAGAGGCGTCGGTTTGTTTGATGACGGTCTGTCTAAGGCGTACAGAGTTGCTGTTGAGCTCCTATACAGGTTTGTATTATTTATTTATTTATTTATTTATAATTATTCATTTATTTGTCTGTCTATTTTATTTATTTAGTTGTTTGTTTTATCGGTTTGTTTGATGACGGTCTGTCTAAGGCGTACAGAGTTGTTAGATAGTAAATAATAAATAATAAATTTATTAGTTCTTTATAATTATTTATTTGTTATTGCTTCTTATTATTAATTAATTAATTATCTATCTACTTTATTTATATATTTATTTATTTACAGATAATGCTTCTTAAGAGTTATTATTTGTACGCACGCCTTGGCACTAGGAATGAATGATTATATATTATTACTATTATTAATTTATTATTTATTATTTATTTTATTTATTTATTTATTTATTTATTTATTTATTTATTTATAGGTGGGGGTTCTTAAGAGTTATTATTTGTACGCACGCCTTGGCACTAGGAATGAACCTTCCTTGCAAGTCTGCTGTCTTTGCTGGCGATGCTCTCGTCTTAACCCCGACTATGTTTAAACAGGTTAGTTTATTATTTATTTATTTATTTATTTATTTGTTTGTTTGTTTATTTATTTTTGTTTATCTGTTCTTTTTATTGATGCTTGTTTGTTCGTATTCTATTGATTTGTTATTTAACTATATTTATATTCATATTTGGTTATTAGCTATATATAGACATATGTATAGATGCATGCATATGTCTATATAAATATATATATCTATATAAATAAATATATAAATATATATATATATGTATCTGTATCTGTATAATGTACCTATATAATACCTACATATAAATCCATATATCACCTACCTAAATACAACAAATATAAATATAAACAAACAAACAAACAAACAAACAAATATATGAACAAATATAAATAAATAAATAAATATATCTGTATATATATATATATATAAATTTGGATGAATGCATTAGGCTGGAGGCCGTGCTGGTCGTATATATGAATATATATAAATATGCATAAATATATAAACGAACATATAAACAAACAAATATAAATATAAATAATATATATATATATATTTGAATGCATGCATTAGGCTGGAGGACGTGCTGGTCGTCGAGGGTACGACTCTGCTGGGCATATAATATTCTGGGAACTGCCGTTCAAACGGATTAATCGGCTGCTCGAAGCCCGACTGCCGGTCTTCTCTGGCGACTTCCCTGTTACCCCTATTCTTAGTGAGGCCTTTCTTAGGTTTATCTAGAATTTATCTTATTATTATTTATTTATTATTATTATTATTGTTGTTATTAATGTTATTAATGTTATTAATGTTATTAATGTTATTAATGTTATTAATGTTAATGTTATTAATGTTATTAATGTTATTCGTGTTGTCTGCTTTTTGTTGTTTGTATTGTTGATTTGGTTGTCAGGGGTTATAGTGCTGTTAGGGTTTATTGTTGTTAGGGTTTATTGTTGTTAGGGTTTATTGCTGTTAGGGTTTATTGTTGTTAGGGTTTATTGTTGTTAGGGTTTATTGTTGTTAGGGGTTTATAAGGGTTTATAAGGGTTTATAAGGGCTTAATAGGTTTTATAAGGGTTTAGGGTTGATAAGAGTATCTTAGGGTTTATGAATAGGGTCTATAAATAGGGTTTATGAATAGGGTTTATAGGGGTTTATTAGGGATTATAAGGGCTTATAAGGGTTTATAAGGGTTTATTAGGGTTTATAAGGGTTTATTAGGGTTTATAAGGGTTTGTAAGGGTTTATGATTAGGGTTTATGATTAGGGTTTATGATTAGGGTTTAGGGTTTGTGTGTTTATGTGCTCAGCGCTGCGCACTCTCCGTTTGAATGCACAGCTCGAGGGTTTAGGGATTGCCGATAATAATTTAGAAGCCCGACTAAACCCTTTGTTTTTAAACCCTCTCTTCTCAATCTCCGCAACAAATGGTGTTGCAACCGAAGAATATCTTCAGGTCTTGCGTTTCTTTATTCGTTATCATCTGAGGTAGTTGTGCATACACCCCAATATACCCTTATATAACCTTAAACCCTAAACCCTAATACACAAACTCTAAACCCTAATACACAAACTCTAAACCCTAATACACAAATTCTAAACCCTAGTACACAAACCCTAAACCCTAATACACAAACTCTAAACCCTAATGCACAAACTCTAAACCCTAAAACACAAACCCTAAACCACAAACCCTAAACCCTGATGTACTTTGTTCGTGATTTTATTCTACCCTTCTGCTTCGCGCATATGACCCTCTCCTTCACTTAACCTGCTGCTTCTGCTGCTCTTGCTGCTGCTGCTGCTGCTGCTGCTACTCTTGCTTCGGTTGCTGCTGCTGTTGCTTTGTTTAGCTGTTGATTTGCTGCTGGGGTTTTTGTTGTTTTGTTTTTTGTTCTCCTCTTTGCTTTTTCTGTTTTTTGTTTTTATTTTTCTTCTTTACTCGCTTCTTCGTTTTGTTTGATTTATGTGTTGTTTCTAATGAAGGCGTTTGTAGTAATAATTTATCTATCAATAATATATATAATTTATCTATTAATAATATATATATATATATTATATGCATGCATACCATATATATAATATATATTATATATATTTTGTTTATTTTATTGTTTTTGTGTATTGTTTAGGTTTGCTGCTGATTTGCTGCTGCGTAGCGGTTTGCTGTGTCGCTTTAACCCAGCAGCAGCAGCAGCAGCAGCAGGAGCAGCAGCAGGAGCAGCAGCAACAGAAGATGTCGGGCTGACTATCTGCGGATTCATTGCTGAACTCCTCTTCGAGAACGGCAGCGGGGCGGTTCTGCTGCTCTTCTTGCTGCTAGCAGGTAAAGAGACAGAAAAGAAAAATTAATATAAATAAATTAATTAAAATAATAAAAACAAATAAAATAAATACAGCTAAGTAGATGGAGATGAACAGTGATATATATAATATATACATATATATATATTATATAGTATATATATATATATTTATATATATATATATGATAAACACTCAAAGTAATCAAACAAACAAGCCAGAGAAAGAAAGAGAAATATAAAGAAAGATAAAGAGAGACAGAAAGAGAGAAGGAGACAGAGAGAGAGAGAGAGAGAGACAGAAGTATAAATAAAGATAAAAAGAGAGAGAGATAAACAGATATAAAGAGAGAGTATAGGAGACATTATACTGTTGAATGAACAACTTTAATAAAATATTATTTATTGCTTTGCTGCTGCTTATTCTTAGGCGTCCTCAGCAACATAGCTGAAGACAGCAGCATCAAACAAACTGAAAAAGAAAAAGTTTTGCTGCAGCTGCTGTCTCTTTGCTTCGACCCTCGAGGTGCTGCTGCTGTTTCCTCGGGTTTCTTGCTGCAGCAGCTGCTGCAGCAGCGACATGCAGCAGCAAGACAGAGGGCAGGCGACTGGGCAGCTGCAACAGGAGATGCAGCAGCAGCAGCAGCACTTGCTGCTGCTAACACGCAGCAGCAGAATGCTGACTCTCTAAGACCCTTCACTCCTGAGTTCCCGCCCGATGTGCAGATTGCTGTAGAGACATATAAACAAATGGTGAGGGGATATTTATTTATTTATTTATTTATTTACTCATTTATTTATTTATTATTTGTTTATTATTCGTTTATTTAGTTGTTTTGTTTTGTTGTTTATTTAGTTGATTGTTTGCTTGTCTGTCTATTTATTTGTTTTATTTATTTTTTAGATTTATTTCTCTATCTTGTTTGTTTACTTATCCTTTCATCTGCATCTTTTATATATACTTTATTTATTTATTTATTTATTTGTTTTGTTTATTAATCTATTTTGTTTATTTTTTATTGTTTATTTAAATTGGAGTGTATGGATGGTAAATAGAGACAGAGAAAAAAGAATAGCGAGGAAAAGAAGAGAGACAAATATAAATATAAATATAAATATAAATATAAATATATATATATATGTATATAAATATAAATATAAATATAAATATAAATATAAATATAAATATAAATATAAATATAAATATAAATATGAATTTAAATAGAGCAGAATGATTATGAGATAATAATAATAAATTTATGATAATAATGATAATAATAACAATAATAATAATAATAAATATAATAATAAATATAATAATACAATAATAATAATACTATATTTATAATAATAATGATATATTTGTTGTTTGTTTGTTTTTGCTGTTTTCTTTATTTAGGCTCTGAAAAATCTTTTTAATTGTTTGTCTGCCGCTGCATCTGCATTATCCCAACGGTGTGGTAGAAGAGAAGAAGAGTTTTTATTACCTTTCACACGCTTATCATTTGCAGATAAAGACTTATTAAAAAACAAGCAGCAGCAGCAGCAGGAGGCAGCAGCAGCAGCAGCAGGGGAACCGACATTGCTGGAGGAGTATAAGAAGAACGTGAGTGATAAGAGACAGCAGACAAGGAGATATGTAAATTATTATTTTTTTATCTTTGTTTGCTTGGTTGGCTGTCTAATTGCTCTTCTTTGTTTGCTTCTCTTTTATATTTATTTTTGTTTATCTTTCGGGCTATTTATTTATTTATATCTGCGTTTTGCTTCTTTGTCTCCTTTTCTTTATTTTTTGTTTCAATCGATATAATATATAAAATATATAAACATATAATATATATATATATATAAACATATATATATATATATAGATATATAAACATATATATATATATAGCATTTGTTTGTGTGTATGCGTTGCAGGTGCACGTGTCTCGTTTACAGTCTCCATTTGCATGTTTGGGCTGCGAGTTAGACGCAGAGTTGTCTGCGAATATCGAGGCAATAGAAGATAGTATTTGTTGCTTTATACCGTTTCAAGGGGAGGTAATGTGTGGGGTGCCTTTATTGCGGGAGGAGACGATCCCACGATACGATCCCGTCTCCCGCCGCTGCTCCTTACAACGCATGCATGCAATAAACAGCTATTTAATTGATCTATACAGCCACGGCAAGCTAGCAAGAATAGCAGCAGAAAACGGTATTCCCCCGGAGAACCTTTGGAGGCTCCTTCATCAGTTTGTTGTCTCCATCGAGAGATTAAACAAAGGGCTTTTGCTGCTCATTGCTGGAAGAGCACCCCACAGTTTGCAGCAGCGCCTTGCTAAACTTCAGGCACTCGTCGAGTCAATATACACCCGAATGAAGGCCGTGCTGAAGGAGGAATCGGCATAAAACATATATATATATATATATATATGTATATATATATATATATA